AAACAGGCTCATTACTTTTACCAATTTGCGGAACAGCAACACATAAAAGTTAGTCCTGTTTGTATATTAGTCATCAGGGGATGTCGCGTAAAAGATGAAAGAGTCAGAACCGTGTTTTCAAAGTCAGGAAGTCAGGTATTAAAGTGGGACTGTATTTTGTTTTTTTTTTAACCCCTAGTAGAAGACAAGCAAGCATAAAGGGAGTCGTATTTTTTAAGCATCAGGTAATTTTAAATGTAACATTTCTATCAGCAAACGGCAAAGCACCCACCCACCACTTTAATCACACTCAAGATCTTGTTCTGCCATATGACATAGAAACTGAACATTTAACAGTTTTTCCTGAAAACCCTCTTTTGTCTGATCATTTCCTAATAACATTTGAATTTACAAGAATGGATCACACAGCAGTGGGGAGTAGAGTTCATCACAGAGGTCTTTCTCAAAGCGCTTTAACTCAGTTTAAGAATATATTTCAGCCACAGTTATCTTCTTCAATGCCTTGTACCAACACAGAGCAGAGCAGCTACCTGAACACTACTCCAACAGAGTTTGATTATCTTGTTAATGATTTTACGTATGACACTGGATACTGTAGCTCCTGTGAACAATAGAGCCTTAAAATCAGAAGTACCTGACTCCCTGGCAGCTAAATCGTAAGCTGGAGAGAAAATGGCGTATCGCAAATGTAGAAGATCATTTAGAAACACTTTGCTGCTTTATAAGAAAGCCCTTCGCAAAGCCAGAACATCTTACTATTTATCACTGATTGAAGAAAATAAGAACAACCCTAAGTTTCTCTTCATCGCTGTAGCCAGAGCGCTGTTGAGCCAAACATCCCTTTAACGTAAACTTGTAATGACTTCATGAACTTCTTCCCAGATAACATTTTCACCATTACCCTCCTAAGACCTGAACTCTTTCATGGCATGCATTTTTAATTTTTCTTTGCTATTTGGGCTGATTGGGACCTGATGAATGTAAAAACAAAGAATTACCTGATTTTGTTTTTTTTTACCTGATTTTTGTTTCTGAGAAAAATGAGATCCACATATGAAGACATTCGTTTAAAACGTCGATAGAACCCTTGTAGAGAAAAATTTAGTATTTTGTTCTAGACAACCCAAAATGTGATGTCCACATATGTGGACGTCAGGTCCTAAGAGATTAAAGAAAAAATTACTCATAACCGTCTCACAGACATAAAATTATGTACAGCTACTTTCAGTAGCATTGATATTCATTTAGACTGTTTTCCTCCAGTTGATCTGAGTCAACTTCAGTAATTACTTCCTCCAAACCATCAATGTGTCTTTCAGACCCCATTCATACAACACTGCTTAAAAAGGTCTTACCATTAATGAAGTTTCAGTCCTAAATATGATCAGCCTATCTATAATAATTGTCTATGTACCACAGACCTTCAAGCTGGCAGTATTTAAACCATTACTTAAAAAGCTCCAAGCTTCTTTTTATCTCAAAAATCGTTGAAAGAGTGATTGTCAAACAGCTGACTGATCACCTGCAGAGGAATTGTCATGGTCCTGGGTGTGGTGACCCAGTGTTCATGTCTTTTTGAGTTTTGTTAATATTCCTTGGTTTTGTGTCAGTCATTGTTTTGGTTCTCTTTATTGTTTTTGTGCTTATGTTATAGTTTTTAGTCTTTAGGTTTCTGACTCCGTGTTCCAGGTGCCCTCTCTGTCTCTCCAAATCAGTCATGCCCCCCTGTTCCCAGCATTAAGGTTGTGTGTCTTTGTCCACGTCTGAGTATTTGTTGTGCTTCCTGTTTTATTTTGATAGTCCTTGTCCTATGTTCAGGTCACGTCACGTATACCAAGTGTAAGATGCAGACAAGCCCTGCACAGTTCAAGAAAAAAACTAGAGACCAGACAGAATCAGAGCTAAAAAACCCTCCTGTGTTATTTTTCTTCTTGAAAGCAGAGTTGGTTTTTATTGAGATATTTGAATTATCATACATCACAGTGTGCCACGCTCTCTCTGCTGATGTGAGGAAATGGAGCTCACCCACCAGTCTTGGTCTTTCTCGCTTTCTGTTATCTATATGACAGTAATCATTGTATATTATTTATATAATATGTATTTGATGACATTTTTGTGACTGGATGGTCTATATTAGTCTTCACAATCCACAGCAAATATAATAATAAGAAAGAGGGCATTGTTGTCTTTTACACATGTGCGAGTAATAAGTCAAAGCGGTAGTATCAAAAATGTTTTTTCAGTAATTACAAGGCCCAGTATAAATGACTCTGGTTAATAAAGAAATGGGAATCCTTACACCTGGCAATGCCTAGAAGCAGCAGATAAGCCACCTGTTGAGGTGTTTCGATTGAGATTGAGGCAGCTACCCTTGAGTTAAAGCGACAAAATAAACTAAGGAGAAATACGACAATACAAGACACCAAGGAGAAATGAGGTGCACAAGGAGCCACAGCACAACCACCCTCAGCCACCTCTGAACAGTGAACCAAAAAGAAAAGATTAAATTCAGACAAGGGGGGAGGAGTGGTTGCCACAAAGAAAAAGCAAGGACAGAGTAATGGACTGGACTGGGAGATTGCTACGTTGATTGAAGGTCTGGAAGCTGATGTGCTTGACGTAAAGAAAATGTTTAATGAGACTTTAGAGGCAACAACGTTAAGAGCAAGTATGGACAGTCCGTCCTCTCCATCAGAGTTGCCAAATGTGCAGAGAGGCCCAGGCTGGTCACGTGTGTAGGCACAGCTTCCACTGTGTTCACGGGGGCCAGCTTTCCAAAGGCTCGTTAATAAGACAAAAGTATTTCTTATGTGATTTCTTGGTTAATCGATGGATTACTCTATAACCTTAATTAAAATCAAACATTAATTACTCAGAAAGAAACATCAATTGCATCCCCCTTTATACCACCCGCTGGTTAGAATGTTTGGTGCCTTTATTGTTTTCTCTATTTACATGATTGTGACTTGGAGGGGCACTCAGGTGGTCATTAGAAAAGGGTAGGTTGTGGAAGTAAAGACCAGCAACAATGATTTGTTGGTATTTAAAATGATCCAAGAAAACATTGCCCCTATTATTATTTTTACATTGTCAACAGCAGCCAGACTGTTGATACAGGCCAGCCCCATGGGCTGTTCAAGCCAAATTCTGAGCCAAGCATCTGCAGTCTCGGCAGAGATGGAGATCGACCACATTAGTTCTTCCAGGATTGCTGTGCCCACTGCAACCACCTGATCCCTCATATTTGGAATTTCTTCTCCACCTCCAAGACTTCTGGGATGTCTCTGATGAAAAGTGACACAGACGATATAAAAAGACAAAAGAATTTAACCGTGTGTTCAGGATCTCTCCTTTTGCTACATACTGGTTCATAGTTTGCTCTGTAATGTGTTCAAATATTACCTAACTTTAATTTAAAAGTACGAAATGCGTTGTTTCAGGTTCTTTCGTTTGAGTTCTGAGGCCTGAGAGCCGCTCAGAAACAGCCCGTCCACCTGCTTCCGATTCGCTCCTGTCTTTGTCTGCTGCCCGACAGCGCGCACACTTTCATAAGCGGCTCTGCGTGATTGGCAGCTCTGTCAGCCACTCACAGGGCGCAAAGCGTCAGTTTTACGTTTACTCCGGTTTGCTAACCAATCAGGACAAGTGTTAAACATTCAAGACGCAATACGGACTCCAAGACTCGCCATGTTGGTGAGGGAAGCCCCCGAAGCCCTCTGTGGGATTTTTAATACAAGCTATCCTGATTACAGGACGGATTCAATCAGTGTAGTGTTCTTCTTTACTTTGTAGTTCCGGTATTAACGTCTTACTAGGATTATTGAATATTTCATTTAATAGTAAAGAATTTACTACGCATTATGAAAATGTTATTAGGCAAAAAAAAATTAAAAAAAAATGCAGCCCTGTCCACAGAGAATATTTTCATATTAATATGTTCACACTTTCTCCTCCTTTGGATCCATAACGCCTTTCCAATCCTGCCACCAAGCTTCCGTCCTCCCTCCTCTCCCTCCTCTCTATATCTCGCTACCTTGTCCAGCCTTTTTCTTTCCCATTCTTATACAGAAGTACTATAACTGGGAACAAATAGAAAGACAATAGAAGCAATAGTCAGTTACGAAAAAAACGAACATAAAATGCGATCTTGGCACATCTTGGCACGTAGGCTAAGCATATATAACAACCACTACACATACAATTGATACAGTTGATACAATTGATACATGTAATACTCAGAGAAACTGATTGCATTATTCCTTTAAAAAAAGTCAAATAAAATCTTATTGCATGTTCACTTCCGAAGGATAATAATAATGCTAATAATAATGATGATGATAATAATAATAATAATAGAAGTAGTGTAATATAGCACGATGACAGCTTTTTAAATGACACTGGTAATACTTTAGTACTTTTATTGAAGTAAAATCTAGGTGCCTGCCCATTATGCTGTTGGGGTATTTTACCTCAGCATCGCTCCTTTCATTACGCGCAATTAGGCGATGCTTCTTGCACAACTGAACAGCAGGTGTATGACAGTAAAATGGTCTGTATAAATCTACACATTTGTAATCCATTGACATATGTCGTGCTGGACACTGGCGCCAGCGGGCCCTCTGACCACCACCAGTAGGCAACGGGTGAAGTGTCTTGCCCAAGGACACAATGACCGAGACTGCCAAGCCGGGGCTCGAACCGGCAACCTTCCGACTACAAGGTTAACTCCCAACTCTTGAGCCACGATCGCCCCATACAGTGGTGTGAAGTATAAAGTGCAGGCTCTAGCTTGTGAACTTGTTCAAATTAAACATGCACTGTGTGTGTGTGCAACACAGCATGTGTGAGATTTATAGTGTATCAATGTCAGGACCCACACACACACTCACAAGGAGGGCTGGGTATTGTTTTCCCCTCGCCAATAGTAGGCTGGACATTGTCAAAGCCAAACCACCAATCACAGTTCGCTTCTGGACACCCTTCTCCTCCCACTGCTCTATAAAGAAGGGAGCTCCAGCTGGCGGACACGCAGCTGACAGCGCAACGATTATCTTAACACAGCAGCTGGAATAATTACAATTCGTTCATTTTTATTTTTTGCTATATTCTGACTGGATATTAATAATTTCCTTTTATATATCTAATATGGCAGACAGCCAGGTGAAAAGCAGCGGAGAACTGAGCACCAAGGTAAGGACAATAGAAGGAGACATGGCACGATGCTTTTTCTAACTCTTGCTTCCATTTATAACTGTAACCTGTTACTAATTTTTCTATTTTAAGCACAGTGCGTATGAAAAAGAAGACTACCAGTTTTCTAGATGATATTCATTATGACCTGCTTGTATGCACGAAATTCTAATATAAATCTACACATTTGTAATCCATTGACATATGTACTGAAGGATCGGAGCTAATGGATGAGGAATAAAGACGGGCTGATTAAGGTACTAGTTTTGGCACAGGGAACATTTCTAAGCTTCCTCGGTGGGCAGCTTAATACCGCCTCCCAGTTTCATTTAGAGTCAGACATGCAGAGATTGTAGGATGCCTGTCTGTCATTTCACAAACTACATATACGGCCGCTGTACTCGTCAATGCAGGTGTGTGTTCTGTGAGGGCTCTCCCGATCTGTCGCCAAACTCTCGGATAGTTGAGGGAACTGAACCGGCTGAGGCGCGCAGAACTGTTACTTTTACTGTTTGGGTAACGTTTAGAAGTCGAAGCAGTGACCGAAAGCAGATAAAGACCTTCAGGGATGGAGTTAGGATAGCAGAGTGGGTTATCTCCCGCCCAGCACCGAGTGTTTCCATTCACGACCGTGGGACTATCACAGAGCCACATCTAGTCTTGTTAAACTACTGTTCTGGTTTTGGTTTAACATAGTAAATATCGGCTTCATTGTTAGTGCTTCTGATACGTATTCCTGTCATTCACAAAAACAAATGGTAGTTCCGCTGCGGTGAAACGGCGCGGACACGCATGTTTCTAACTGTCCAGCGCTGTGTTGTCTGTAACTCCAGTTACGCGATCGAGCAATAATCTGAGTTTATGCATGTGGAGCTCCACCTCACTGCTACTGTGGCCCTCAGCGGAGCTGGGAGCGCGCACGCTCCTGTGCTTCTCACCAGTGTCGTCACGGTGGAGGCAGGCTGCTGTGCCCGTGCTGACCCTCGCGCCTCTCTTCTTCTTTAACCGAGTTTTCTTTAATGTCTCAGTTTCCTCGCGCCTCGTGTACCCGCTGGTACTGTAGTACTGAGTGATGCCGAGGGGACGCTGGTGATTTCCGCTCAGTTTGTTTCTGAGCAGCTCCATTTCAAACAAAGGCTAACAGCGAGCGACGCGGCGCAGGGTGTTCTACAGGTACACGCTAATTCAAACAGCTGGCGCGCGAGCCGTGCCCGTGAAGCTGCGCATGTCTGTCTGCAAGCCGACTCGCGCGCTCCACGAGGGGTGGAAGCCTTCCTTTCGTCTAACCAGGTGCCATTCTAGGTTCAAAGTCTTAGGGGGGCTCAGCTCCCAATCGTAATGTGCTGTTCATAATATGCTCTTTGCAAATGTAATCAGCCCTTCTTACATCAGCAGACCTCAGTTCAATTGAATAATCAATACAGTGTTACCTTCAAAAGCAGCCTAATTAGTTGGATAACCTAGTGTAGTGTCTAAGAATAATTCAGAGTAAGTAGAAATTTCAGTCTAATCCACCCGTTTTAATGTGGAGCCTTTAGTTACCAAACCCAAGGCAAAGGCTCAGTGTTTTAAGAACTATTTATGGCAATCAGATATGATGAGAGACATGGAGATTATTTCAGTCTCTTAACCACACAGAGGCAGTCCAACAACTCATCAAGCACTTAAACCAGCATACAGACACTGGAAAACCACTCCATAGACCTGGAGTGGCAGGGTGCAAACGGGCTTTTTATTATGCAAACTCAGCACAGAGCATCATGTACCCCAATTTCACGAGTGGGGAATAGATTTGTAGTCCTGTTCAGCCATGTTTAGAATGAATCCTGTGAAATGCTGCATTCATGTAAATATGCTCTGTTTAGAGTGTGCTACTGGAAAGCAGAGTGAGCGTCCATGAAAGGCACCGAAAACTACTTTGAAAAATAACTGCAACTTAAAGCGTCGAAGCACTGTGTTTGTAAACGATAACTGGCATCCCATTTCCACAAAGGTGAGGACAGGAGGGAAAAACCCGAGAGGTTTTGCGCTCATGTACTGACAAAAAATATTCACTTTGAGTATTTGTTTTCTATTTGTTTTAGGCGTAGATAAATAATGATGATGCAGTAATTAATCTTTTGTCTAATCTTTTGGTTTGTGGTGATGAGAGGCCGGTGCCTTTCTCTGTGGTGTTTTCTTATTATTTTGAGGAAAGCTGAAATGTGGAGATCACGGTTGTTGTTTTCAAGGCAAACTGCCATGGCTGCCATACCCTCTACAAAATACCTTGTGTAGATGACTTAATGAAATTGTACTTCAGATACTTCATTATCTGACAGTTTGTATCACTATTGGAATTTTGTATAAAGTCACCCAGCGGTACAGCTAAAACAATTAATATTAATACATTTTTGATTTGCTTTTTCTCATTGCTTTTTTTTTCCTAGTATTTTTTTTGTTGTCGTTTGTTTTTTGTTTCTACACAAAAACAAAGAACTATATTGAGAACATGCATCTTAGGTCATACAAATGCCTACTAAACCATATTAAACCAGTTAAAACCATGTGAAATGGTCATTTTATTTTGTTTTAATTCATCATGGCATGACTTTGCAGAGAAATTTCAAAAGGCAGTCTTCCTTCAGTGGAAGGGTAAAATGATGTGGTTTAAAAATGCCATGTGGCTGCTTTCCTCCTCCGTGCACAGTTCAGTCCACACTTTCATGGCATATGTTTTTTTTCTGGACTATGATGAGCAAACCTGGATGCAGCTGGAGAAGCTTCAGCTTAAGTGGTTATTGTTGGCATTACTGTGATTACTGTGAGGAGGTGCACTGATTTGGTGAGTAAATAATTTACTTTTTCTGCCTTCTTGCAGTGACAGATTTATAAACTTGCTAGCCAGTGTTAGCCTAGCCTTGTAGCACCGATGCTCTGTGCATGCTGCCGCCTCTCGGCTAATGTTGGTTAAAAAAACATAAACCCTGCAGCTTTAATTTTTTCGTTTACAGTTGTCTCAGTGAAACTAACTGTTGTTGATTCGAAATGGGAAAAGCGAGCTTATAAATCATTAGATGAGAGACTAGACGTTTTCGCAGCTCTTAGGGTGTTGTCATATTTTCAATTCACACAAACTGTTAGGTGGCAAAAAAACAATAATTTACAAGCATGTATTCGAACTCCTGCATTTGTTTTAATGCTTTATGGCTACATCTGCGGCATCTGTGAATGTCAAATCTAGCCATTCTTTATCAACATAAACAAACTGCTTTTACATTTAACTAGCAATATTTCTGCTTAGTTACATTTTTAAAAAAGTAGTCTTAATACCATTACTTTTTACTAAAAACTGTATTTGTATACAAGTTTTGTTGTGAAAGTCAAATTTAAGACATCCATAAATCAGATTAGAAACATTTTGGGGTAGCCTATGTTAGATATAAACACAGCCACAAGTTTTATCTGGTCATCTTGCTTATTAGAAACTGTAACAAGAAACTTTAACAAGTAACAACTTTAACAACATTAAGTTCTATGTTGTAAACAACAGAACCTTATGTTGTAAGTTATCTATGGTTGCACAGCCATTAGGAATCTAATCTGCTTCTGAATAATTTGCTGGTTTTTATTCTTTCTTTCTTTTTTTTTTACTTTGTCAGAGATTTCTCAGAGAGTTTGCAGAATTGTCGTTAGACTGAAAGAGTTTAATGATTCCCCACATTACACTGAACTCTTGCAAGTCTAGAAAAGGAGCTGTTGGACAGACATCAGTTGAGTGGTAAGTATTTTTTGTTTTCCAGTAGATTAGTAATATTCAGTGTCATCTATATTAATCATGCTAAATGTTTAATCATACTTTAGACCAACCTGTTTTACTCCTCTAATTTATTCTTTGGCTTTGGGAAATTGTTTCTTTACCAAACTTTTCGTGCTTTCTGTTATTAGACCTCAGATATGACTGCATTATGCTGTTGTCCTCAGAGGCATTAAAGCAGGACTTTGTGTACATTTCATAAGACATGCTGTGTAAGTAAATACAAACAACAGTTTGGGCTGCATTTCTTGAAAGATTACATCTCACAAACTTAGTTTAGAGGTACCACAATGTCTGTACAGTATATAGTGAAGTCTGAACATTTTGTGTGAAGAGATGAGCTGAGCTATCAACTCAACTGAGTTGGATCAGGTGGTGGGGGAGGATGCTGGACAGACCTGTCACACCCAAGCATATAGGCTGCACAGGGGATGCTTGCCAGAAGCCCCAGTTCAGGAGATCTTAATATCCCAGTTCAACAGTTTCCAAGGGAGGGTGGGGGTATTGAGTCAAAATGGACAATGTTCTGCACCTCCATAGCTGATGCTG